TGTGGAGAGGGTGAAGAGAAAAGGGATGGGGAAGGAGAACCTGCAAATCCGTTGGCTGGATTCCTGGACAGCAGTAAAGTAGGTCGGAAGCGAGGCAGAGCCAGGCCCAAAATCCTGGTTCCGATTCTGGAGTTTGAGCCTCATCCTTACAAGAAGCGGCATCCTATGTTCTACTCAAGGTAGCTGGGTGGGAAAAGCCAGGAGAATTTTGCCTTTTCCAGGCACGTTGTGCAGGCAGTCCTCCACTTAGGACCCAACATTTCTCTTGCTAAGTGTGACGATTGTTAAGGGAATTCTGCCCCATTTTTACAACCTGCCTTGCCACAGTTGTTAAATGAGTCGCATGATACAATTGTTACGTTAGCAACCCAGCTGTTAAGTGAATCTGGCTTCCCTTCTCAGAAGGTCGCAAAAGGGATCACTGCAACCGTCATAAATATGAACCAGTGACCAAGCCTCTGAATTTTGACCAGGGGGATGCTTGCAAGGGTTGCAAGTGTGAAAAATGGTCATAAGTCACCTTTTTTCCCCCAGTGCATTGTAACTTTGAACAATTACTAAACAAATGGTTGCAAAATTGAAAGCCACCTATACAGATAGACCTGAATTTATGACCATTCATTTAATGACCCGTTTGAATTTACGATGGTGCTGAAAAATGTGACTCACAACTGGTTTTCACACTTATGACTACTACAGCCTTCGTAAGTTCACACGACCAAAATTTGGGCCCTTGGCAAACTTCCGTGTATTTACAATGGTTGCAGTGATTGGTGCCCTTCCCAGCCAGCTTCCAAAAAAGCCAATGGGGGGGAAGCCTGATTTTGCTTAACAACGTTCTGATTCATTTAACGACTGTGATTTGCTTCATGACCATGGCAAAAATGGTAGTAAGATCAGGCACTACTTATTTAAAGACTGTCTCACTTAGCAAGGTCCCGATTGTGCCCATAAGTCGAGACTACCTGTATTAATAAGAAGAGCCCCTATATGTTCTAGGCAGGGGTGGGATGTAAAACTCCTATCAGCCGGTTCTCTGCCCGGTTTCTGGGTGGGCGTGGCCTATCGGAACTTCGGGAGCAGAGAGGTAGGTATTCAACAGGTTCTGACCACTTCTAGAGAACCGGTAGTGGAAATTTTGAGTAGTTCGGAGAACCGGCAAATACCACCTCTGACTGGAGATTTTACAGTATCCTCCCCCTGCCATGCCCACCAAGCCACACCCACAGAACCAGTAGTCAAAAAAATTTGAATCCCACCACTGTTCGGGAGGGCTGTTTTTCGCCTTCCCCACAGTCCGGAGGCTTCCCTCAGGCCTCTGGGAGAGCGAAAACGGCCTCCCCCTGGCTCCAGAGGCCCTCTGGAAGGCAGAAACAGGCCTATTTCCAGATGTTTTTTCACCCTCCCAGAACCTCTGTACGGACCCTGCATTTACCTGCATCCAAAACGGGCCGTGTGGAAATTCCTGGGAGGGGAGGAGAGGGGTGGGCAGGGCCAGCTGGTTGGTTCAACTACTGGTTTGGTGAACCAGATGTTAAATTTAACATCTAGTTCACCTGAACCGGCTGAATCCCACCCCTGGTTCTAGTCCAGGAGTCTCCAACCTTGGCAACTTTAAGACTTGTGGAATTCTGGGAGTTGAAGTCCACAAGTCTTAAAATTGCCAAGGTTGGAGACCCCTGTTCTGGGCAAGGCTGCTGGATGGGAGAATGCAGGATTGCAGCACAAAAGTGCGTGCGCAAAAGAGGTCCCCACTCCCCCCACTTCCAGCACATACGTTTCTGGTGAACCCCCCGTGTGACCGCAGCACAATTGGGGGTGAGGTTGCATCAATGAAAATGCAAAATACAGGCTGTCCTCGACTTACGACCACAATGGAGCCCAATATTTCTGATGTTCACTGAGACATTTAAGTGGGTTTTGCCCCATTTTATGACCTTTCTTGCCACAGTTGTTCAATGAATTGCTACAGTTCATAAGTTAATAACCTGGTTGTTAAGAGAATCTGGCTTCCCTGTGGACTTTGCTTGTCAGAAGGTCGCAAAAGGGGATCACATGACCGTCATAAATATGAGCCAGTTGCCAAGCACCTGAATTTTGGTCACATGACAATGGGAATGCTACAAAGGGTGTAACTACGAAAATGGTCATAAGTCACTTTTTTCAGTGCAGTTGTAACTTTGGACGGTCACTAAACGAAAATCAAGGAATACCTGTAGGGCAGGTGGGGATGAATTAATGCAGCACGTTAGGCCTTGCTTTGTTAAATGATGGTTTGTTGATAGGCAACTAACTCTGACTTTCTGTATCAGGCGAAGCCATAAATTGGCTTGAAATCCATAGTTGTTTCGCTCTGGGCCTTGCAGATCTTAAAGAACTGTGAGCTCTCTGCTATGCCAGGAATGTCAGTGGTGAAGAATGCTGGGAGGTGTAGTCCCAATAATCACCTTCTTTTAACAATCCCATAAGCCCTTGCGGGGGGTGGAGTCTGGGCAACTGAATGGAGCTGAGTGTTTAATGGCCGGATGCCCTTCCTGTTGCCAATACAGAGTTTACTTCAGCAGATATATTCTCATCATGCCCTACCTACAATTGAGCTCACAGCCTCCTGATTGTGAGGCGAGAGTTCCACCTCTAGGCCATCGCACCACTCTGTGTAGTCCCTACCATGAGGCATATAAAAAATAATAGTAGTAATAATTTATTAAAATTTGTACAGTATGCAGTCCGACGACTCCTTGACACACAGCAACTTTCGAAAATGGGCAGGGCTTAGATCACCAACATTTTGGTTTTTCTGAACCACTCCCACAGGCACCATAAGCCGTAATTGGTAGGATTCAGTCAGCACTCTGACCGTAAACCAGGCTTACAAAGCAAACTGATTGGGTTCACATAAACACGCTAAGCTGCACATTAGCAAATTTTACTAGCATGTTATGTTAAACCGTCATGGTTCTCCCACAAGCCCCTTTCTATCATGGTCATTTAGCAATAACAATTCAGCTGAATGGCCACCAGCAGAGTGGTGGGATTCAAATTTTTTTTACTATCGGTTCTGTGAGCGAGGCTTAGTGGGCATGGCAGGAGAAGGATACTGCAAAATCTCCATTCCCTCCCCACCCCACTAACCTGCTTTCCAGCTCCGTTCTCCTGTGCAGGGCAACCAAAGAAGACCCAGCCAATCAGCTGGGACTCAATGGGAGGCGGAGAATAGATGGGGGAGGGGATCAGTCAGAGATATTTGCCGGTTCCCTGAACTATTCAAAATTTCCACTATTGGTTCTCCAGAACTGGTCAGAACCTGCTGAATACCACCTCTGCTTTCCAGGCAGTTTATCTGTGAATATTACTTTCTGGAATTAAATAACCAGGGAGGGGTGAAGGACGCAAATATCTCTATCCCATAATAGTGTATAAGTAGTCCTCGACTTGAAACAGGTTGTTTAACCACCAGTTTGAAGTTTCAACAGACCCCCAAAAAGTACTTACCACCCAGTTCCAATGGCTGTCCCTCTCCCATGATCACATGACCATATTCAGGAACTGGCAGTGACCATGATTTATGATGTTTTTGTCCAAAACTGTCATTTATTTTCCCCTTTGGCAAAAATGCCACATAGTGAATGGTTTGCTTAATGACTGTTGCATTCGCTCAATGATCGCTGGGAAAAAAAGTCCTCAGTCTTGTGACGACCCACGTTATGATCTTCACGCCCTATGAATATAACAGGAAGGATCCATCACTGCAATAAGCCCAGGACCGCCTGTACTTTTTCAGGCGCATCTGTTACAGAGGTGGTATTCAGCAGGTTCCGACCAGTTCTGGAGAACCGGTAGCAGAAATTTTGAGTAGTTTGGAGAACCAGCAGATGCCACCTCTGACTGGCTCCGCCCCCATCTGTTCTCCGCCTCCCGAGTCCCAGCTGATTGGCTGGGTCTTCTTTTGTTGCCTTGCACAGGAGAACAGAGCTGGAAAGCAGGTTAGTGGGGTGGGGACGGAATGGAGATTTTGCAGTAATCTTCCCTTGTCATGCCCACCAAGCCATTCCACGCCTACAGAACCGGTAGTAAAAAAAAATTGAATCCCACCACTGATCTGCTGCATAATGGAAAGCAGAATTTTTAGATGAGATTGATCTTTGGGCTCTGCAGAGGTAGAACATTATTCTTCTAGGAGCAAAAGAACAAAAGAGCCATGATGGTGTGGTGGTTAGAATGTGGTATTGCAGGCTAATTCTGCTGACTGCCAGCAGTTCAATTCTGATCGGCTCAAGGTTGACTCAGCCTTCCATCCTTCCGAGGTCGGTAAAATGAGGACCCAGATTGTTGGGGACAATAGGCTGACTCTCTAAAACCGCTTAGAGAGGGCTGCAAAGAACTGTGAAGAGGTATATAAGTCTAAGTGCTATTGTTATTGCTAAAAAGAATCCTCCAGTTACCCAAATATATGGGGTACAACAAAAGAAGAAGATTGTTGACTTTCTGCCCAGCCTAAATGCTTCCCAGAACAGGTGATTGGCAGCTAGAAGAAACAGGACATTCACTAGATCGGAGATCTCCAACCTTGGCAACGTTAAACCTGGAGGACTTCAACTCCCAGAATACCCCAGCCAACAAAGCCAGGAGTTGAAGTCCTGCAGGCTTAAAGTCGCCAAGGTTGAAGACTCCTGCACTAGATGGTGAATTTGAACTTGCACTGCATTATTAAATCCCGTCACTGGAGCCGACAACTGCTCTGTATTTGATAGCTTTTGTGAAGGTAAAAACCATTTTTTTTAATTTTGCATTTTTTTAAACCCTGCCTTCATTACTATTATTTAAATAACTCAAACCCCAGTGGTTACATTCACACAATGCACTAAGCCAAACCAACCAAACTTCCCAGGGCTGTCTTGTGGACACAGCCAGTATGGACCTAGATAGCATCAGTCAGTTTAGCCAAGCACAGACAAAAGACACAAGAGCCAAGTTCTTTAAAAGTCATATATTAATCTGTGCTTTTTTAAAAAAAACTTTAGAATTCTGTAAACAGTGACTTCTTGGCACTGTTCCAGGTCCCTTGTTTCTGCATTCTGAACAGGTTCCTTTTGTTCACAAATTAGCACCCCTCCTTTCCAGGTGAAAAATAAGAAAATGGATAACAAGATAGCCAGCGTCTTCACATCCCTCAAAGGCTTTCAAATCTCTCTGGTTCTTCTCTATTTTCACATCTCCCAGGAACCCCCCACCCCAAAATCTCAGTGTAGTTTTTTTTTAAAGACCTAAAACCATCATGCCTTTAACTTTGTTTGCCACATCAAAAGGATCTGCTATAGACAAATGAACGTTTTTGACTTCACCGTTTCAAATCAGCTTCAAGTGTATCACGCGGACAAGACAAGGGATGGCTGAGGGTGTACAAAAACTCCGGAATGGATTGGGTCACTCATCCCCAAGTTACTTAAAACACTGTCAGAACTGGGGTTCTCCCAAGGAAACACCTGTGTGTAACACCATTTCTTTTTTCTTTTTTCACTGGTTCTTCTTCTCTTTGGACTGGGAAACGGAGCTGCAGAAAAAGGCAGGTTTGTAGAGACAACGGTAAGCTAAGATTTGTGGGCCCACCGCATAGGCCACGTTGCATAGGACAACAAACCACCAATCTCTTTCTGGGATGCGGTACGGAAAAGGAGTGCGATGGTGAATGGAGGCAGCAACGTGGGAAAACTGAGCCTGAAAAATGGAAGAGACAGAAAGGATTTTGAACAGCGGGTTGGACTATTAGACCTCCAAGATCCCTTCCGACTCTGTTATTCTGATTTTATTTTCAAAGTGGAAAATATACATTTAGGAATTGTCTGGTCTGGTTGTGTGGTGTTTTTTTTTTTTTTTGGTAAAAGTAAATAAAGTACGTAATTTTTTTTGTATAGTGTTCTAATTTCTAGCTTTGCTTATTGCATTTGTGCCTTCTTCCCTTCCACTCATGTCTGGCACAGAGAGGCAACATAATACAGATTTTTTTTTTTGTATGTTGCAACACACTGATGCTTAGGAGCACAAACATGCCTTAGTAAAGCCTCTTCTAAAAGGAATCACAATATCCTTTTATATAAAGCAGTGTTTCTCAACCTCAGCAACCTTAAGATATCTGGACTTCAATTCCCAGAATTCCCCAGCCAGCACACTGTCCGGGGAATTCTGGGAGTTGAAGTCCACACTTCTTAAGGTTGCAGTAGTTGAGAAACACTGATGCAGAGTTGCATCAGAAATGATTATTTTTTATTTCAGGCAGTCTCATTCAGGCGTGTGTGCCAATTGGCAAATGCTTCAATAATTCCAGGAATAATTTTGGAAATTCTGCTGGGTAAACTGAAGTTAGAGGAGTGGAACACAGCAAAATGCAAATGTAGAGGACCAGAAAGAAATGCCACAGGGGGAATGATGCATTTTTCTACATCTTCTGGGTGCCCTACTCAAAATTATTGACCCGGAAAGTACCCCTGAGGTCATCTAACCAACCTCCACAGAAGAGTGTATTCCAGTGGTTGGCAAAAACTAAAAACAAATGACGTTACTGAGATTTCAACAGTCTCAGTCTCTGAATCTTGCCTGAAACGCTGAGATTTTATGAAGTCTAGTGCAGTGTTGCCAAAATCTCTCTAAAGTTTATTTCCTTCTTGAAGTCTCACAAAATACAGGTAAGCCTCAACTTACAACTAGAACTAGGAGGAGAATTTCCAAACAAGATGATTGGTAACTGAGTCACATTGGAGTTTATAACGTTTTTTTGTGATGGTTGTTAAGAAAATCACTGCCGCTGTTAAGTGAAACATACAGTGGTTAAGGAAATTCAGTTTCCCCCATTGACTTTGCTTGTTGGAAGCTGGCGGGCAAAGTCTCAAGTGGCATTTAATGTGACCATGAGACATTGCAGCCGTCATGCTTAGCAACAGAAATTCTGGTCGCAATTCTGGTTATAAGTTGAGGATTGCTATAAGGATTCTTTCCAATAAAGTTTTGCCGTATGACATTTGTAAAAATTTAAAGTGTCCAGTTTCTGCACTATTCTAACTACTGAGAGCCGGGGTGGCGCGGTAGTGAGAGTGCAGTATGGCAAGGCTAACTCTGCCCGCTGCCAGGAGTTCGAGCCTGACAAACTCAAGGTTGACCCAGCCTTCCATCCTTTCGAGGTCGGTAAAATGAGGACCCAGATTGTTGGGGGCAATAGGCTGACTCTGTAAAACCACTTAGAGGAGGCTGCAAAGCACTGTGAAGCAGAATAAACAGTATGTCTAAGTCTGTGATGGCGAACCTATGGCACACGTGCCACAGGTGGCATGCAAAGCCATTTGTGTGGGCACACGAGCCCCAGCGAAACTTACCTGCACTGCACATGAGCACGCCTCCCAGCTGATTTTTGGCCCGTTTGAGGCCTCTTTCACCCTCCCGAAGACTTGAGGGAAGCCTCTGCAGCCTTTGGAGGCTGAAAAAAAAGGTCCGTTTCATCACTTCCTGTATTTCCAGAAATACCAGAAATGACAAAACGGGCCCGTTTTTCAGCCTCCAAAGGGTACAGAAGCTTCCCTCAAGCCTCCGGGAGGGCGAAAACAGCCTCAAACAGGCCAAAAATAAGCTGGGAGGTACGTGCATGCGCAGTGCAGTTAAGGGGGGCGGGGCGGGGGTGTTGTACACACATGCGTGGGGGGAAAGGCACATTGCATTGTGGGTGCCGGCACGTGCGCACTTTTGGCACACCACAACCAAAAGGTTCACCATCACTGGTCTAAGTGCTGTTCTTTGGTGTTGCAAGTCAAAGAATATGAGAGTTCTGAATGTTAGGATCTCTCCTGACATGGAACTGGGCAGAATTCTCAAGCTCTGCTACGTACCTGTCCAATAGCACCAGCAAAAACCAAGGCCCAGTCTCCCATCCACGTGCATCCAGGAACGAGCAATGCATAGATGGAGATGCAGAAATATGGCAGGGCATAAAACAGATACACCAACATCTGCAAACAAGCCCCCCCCCACACACACAGAATATTAGATTCCAGCACAGATCAAGAATAGAAGATCTCTTGAATGACAATGCCTATAGAGATTATTAATCATCCAGATCATGGTTGTCATGGTGTTTTTCCAAAAGGCAACTTGATTTTTTTGTTTTTTTTTCCCTTTGAAAATGTTTCACTTCTCATCCAGGAAGCCTTCTTTAGTTCTGAGACCCGAAGAAGCTTCTTAGATGAGACGCAAAATGTTTTCAAGCAAAAACAAAAACAAAAACAAAAAACCAAGAAAGTCCAGTTGCCTTTTGGAAAAGTACTTTTGGGGTTTGAATGACAACCAAATCTGGATTCAGAGGCAACCACATTAATCCAGATTTTATGAATGTGCTATGAAAAGCCCTGCTGTAACAGGTGCTGTCATCATAATGAAAGGAAGAAGAAGCAGTCAAGAGCTGCGGATGCAAAAATCCGAAGGGCAACAGATTGGAGAGAAGTTTGCAAAGATATTCAGCAGGGAATTTTCCCTTCCCAGACAATTTGGATGCACCTGAATCTTGGGATAGGCCACTGGATCTCGCAGGTATGGTTCTTGCAGGTAAATGTAATCAAAGCAGGAATTAGCTGGGCAGTCCAGAACAACCTGTAATTGCACAGAGACACAAAAACATACACACACTGCTTGTAAATCTATTTCCTTTACCCCTCCCAAAATCACGAACGACTCTATTATACTCTATGCTTCTAAAATGGGAGGATTACCACTCTTGGCATCCTATTTTACGCTGTATGCATCGTCTGTATCAAAAGAGACTTCCCAAAATGCCTCATTTGGTTTCGCTACTTTTAATGGACTCATTAAATTTCGCTATTTATTTTATTTTCGCTACTTTTAATTTCTCATTTTAATTTCGCTACTTTTCATTCAAGCAGGAACGAATCATGGATTAGAGTACAGATAGTCTTCATTTCCTGACTGCCATTTCCTGCCTGCTTCATTTAGTGACCACTTGCAATTACAAAAGTGATGAAAAAAAATAACTTTATGACCCATCCTCGCATTTACAAGTCTGCAAAGCAAAGTTGAGGTAAAATTGTAAGTTCAGTCTTAGTTTTACTTAGTAATGCTTTGCTTAACAATCAAGTTGTTAAGCAAAGCAGTTGCTAAGTAAAACCATGCCCGAGCTTAGGATTCTATTTGCTCAGAATTGGAAAAGCGATAAAATTCCAACAGAGAGAAAAGTGATTGAGAAAATATTTGAATGTGCAGAGATGAATGAATTAACATTAGTAATTAAAGAAAAAGAAGAAACTGAATACTATAAGATATGGGATATATTTTATCAATGGTTGGAAAATAAAACAAGTTAAAACTGAGCAGATGAATATATAGAGAAATAAGTGAATATTGATATAGAGGTGATAAATGTAAGGGATAACAATTTATAAAGGAAATGTAATTATTGTTATATTGGTAAGAAAAATACTAAATTACAATTGTTAGCACAAGATATATGTACCCAGTCCACACACTGTTTTAAGGAAAGATGAATTTATTGTAAATATAAAATAAAAAAAACTTTTGAGGAAAAAAAAAACAATCAAGTTGTTGGTTCCAGATGTGATTAGAATATAATATTGCAGACTGCCAGAAATTCGATCCTGACCGACTCAAAGTTGACTCAGCTTTCCATCCTTCCAGGGTGGGTAAAATGAGGGCCCAGATTGTTGGGGGCAAGAGGCTGACTTTGTAAACTGCTTAGAGAGGGCTGTAAAGCACTGTGAAGCGGTATATAAGTCTAAGTACTACTGCTAAGTGCTATTGCTAAACAAGGACTACCTTCAGTTACTTAACAACTGTCCTCGATGGAAGGCAAGTTGGTAGTAATTGTTTTTTCCTGGATGGGTTGTAAGTCACTTTTATTCTGTGTTGTGGTAACTTCAAATGGTCACTAAATAAATGGTTGTAAGTTGAGGACTACCTTATGCAAAACATCTAAGGTTTAAATAACCGGTCTAACTGGAAAAAATTGTTCAAGGGCTGTTTTAAGGGCAAGCTGGCCCAAATTAAGGCATTAGGTCTCATTCTATGTGCAGAAAACAGTACCTTGAAAGGAAAAACAAGGATAGATGGGTGGATAGATAGGGGTGGCCCTGGGCATCAGCAGGATTGGCAAAAGTCTCCTGACCATGCAACTCATCAGGAGATCGTGACCCCTCTATTAAGGATGCTTACAAAATGCAGATCGGGACTGAAAATGAACCTGCTGATCTCAACATTTTGGACACACTGCAGTCTTGGCAGAATTTATCGCCACAAGAGATCAGTACTCGCAGTCCAGCATTGATGGATTACCTGCTGTTCAATCAGGGATCGGGAAAGTCCCCATTAATTGCATGAGTTGGATCGGGTCATCAACCTCTCCCGTGCACTAGTAGGAAATAAGAGTCTGTCCAGAAGAGTATTTCTGAATCTTAGCCACTTTAGGAGGCGTGGATTTCAACTCCTAGAATTCCCCAGCCAGCAGGGCTAACTGGGGAATTCTGGGAGGTGAAATCCACACCTCTTAAAAATGGCCACGGTTCAGAAACAGTGGTATAGACAGACCAGGGGTCTCCAACCTTAGCAACTTTAAGATTTGTGGACTTCAACTCCCAGAATTCCTCAGCCAGCAAAGTATAGACAGACAGCTAGACAGACAGAGAGACGATGATCTTTACCAGTCCTCGGAAGAGTGTGTAGATCACAGCCAGAAGGAGAAATCCTACCAATCCCAAATCCATAGGGCGCTGGAGCAGATTCTTGTTTTGTTCCTCTGCAACCTTTCCCAAAGCAAGAAAAGAAAAAGTAGAAGGTAGGATTAAAGAGTCTTTGTTCTCAAAATGGGATAGGGGGTTGGGGTGGATTGAAAACGGGGACCTGACTAGACAAGATCATTCCTATCAACTTGTTTTGAAAGTGCAGCCAGATTGTGAGCTGGCAGGAAGTGATAACGCAATCATAGGGTTGCAGTCAGTGGTGGTATTCAAATTACTTTACTACTGGTTCTGTGGGCGTGGCTTGGTGGGCGTGGTGGACGTGGTGGACGTGGTGTGGCGTGGTGGGCGTGGTGTGGTGTGGTGGGTGTGGTGTGGTGTGGTGGGCATGGCAAGGGAAGGATATACTGTAAAATCCCCATTCCCTCCCCACCCCACTAACCTGCTTTCCAGCTCTGTTCTCCTGTGCAGGGCAACCAAAGAAGACCTAGCCAATCAGCTGGGACTTGGGAGGCAGAGAAGAGATGGGGGCGGGGCCAGTCAGAGGTGGGATTTGCTGGTTCTCCAGACTACTCAAAATTTCCGCTACCGGTTCTCCAGAACCTCTCAGAACTGGCTGAATACCTCCTCAGTGTTGTGATGTACAACAGACATGGTGGAACGAGTGGAAACTAATCATGGGGAGAAGCTAAGAAGCTTAGAACTAAGGAGAAACTTCCTGACAGAACAATTAATCAGTGGAACAACTTGCCTCCAGAAGTTGTAAATGCTCCAATACTGGAAGTTTTGAAGAAGAGATTGGATAACCATTTGTCTGAAGTGGTGTAGGGTATCCTACCTAAGCAGTGGGTTGGACTACAAGACCTCCAAGGTCCCTTCCAACTCTGTTATTCTATTCTATTCTATTTTTTTTAAGACTGTAAACTGACGCCCAACAAAGACTGACTAGTCCAATCTTGGGAGCTTTATAAACTTCAACTCCCAGAATTCACTAGCTGTTAACGGAAGTAGTAATTTACCAGTCAAACTGATACAGTTGCTCATTTATCCAAGTCAGTGCTTCTCAACCTTGGCAGCTTTAAGATGTGTGGACTTCAATTCCCAGAATCCCTCAGCCAGCCCTGCTGGCTGAGGGATTCTGGGAGTTGAAGTCCACACATTTTAAAGCTGTCCAGGTTAAGAATCATTATTCTAGTTCAGGGGTCTTCAAACTTGACAGCTTTAAAACTTGTGGACTTCAACTCCCAGAATTCTTCCTCCAGTTGTGTTAGCTCAGGAATTCTGGGAGTTGAAGTCCACAAGTCTTAAACTTGCTAAGTTTGAAGACCCTTGCTCTAGTCTGATAAATTGTTTTCTGGATGGTTTGTCAAGTATCAACCAGACATTTGCCATGTATTGTATAATTAAACAGATACTGTACCTCTGTCTCCCTTCCGCCCCACCAAGAGTCTTTCACCAAAAACTTTTATACTTCTGCTTTAAAAAAACAAAACGCTGAACCCTCACTTTTATGCTGTTTTGGCTACGTAAGCAAGAATACTTGTCTCTGAGCATTGGAAATAGAAGGAATGAATTAAAAACCGCACTGAATGCTCCTGGAGAGGTGGATAGGAAAAGCCAGGGACAAATCAATGGAAAGAATGATGATTTGGGTTTAATAATAAAAAGCACTATTATATATAAGTCAACCCAACACAGTAGCCAGATTAAAAATCCAATACCTTAGAGGTCAAAACTATGTTTATTGTAACTGCCGCCTTGAGTTATTAGAGGTGGGGATAAAGGTGGAATAAAAAGCCCAGTTTGGTCTAGTTAAGCACCAGGCTAGAAACTGGAAGGCTGTGAGTTCTAGTTCTGCCCTAGGCATGAAAGCCGGATGGGTGACTTTGGGCCAATGATCAAGAGACTGTGAGTTCTAGTCCCACCTTTGGATTGAACGTCAGCTAGCTGACTTTGGGCCAATCACCAGGAGACTGTGAGTTCTAGTCCTGCCTTAGGCATGAAAACTGGCTGGATGACTTTGGGCCAATCATCTGGAGACTGTGAGCTCTAGGCCCTCCCTAGGCATGAAAGCCAGCTGGGGGAACCTTGGGCCAGTCACTCTCTCTCTGCCCTAGGAAGGAGGCAAATAACAAACCACTTATAAATAACAAACAACCGGCGTTGGTGGTATAGTGGTGAGCATAGCTGCCTTCCACTTCCCAAAACCTTACCAAGAAAACCATACTTACTCAAAGACACCTCCAAGAAAACCACTTTAAAAAAAGGAAACTTAACTTATTATATAAAAAGCACCACAATATACAGGGAGTGATGGTTATAGAACAGGGGTCTCCAAACTTGGCAACTTTAAGACTTGTGGACTTCAACTCCCAGAATTCTCCAGCCAGCATAGCTCTCATCCGCTATAGAACTAAGGTAATTCTCAACTTACAACTGCAATAGAAACCAGAATTTCTGTTGCTAAGCAAGTTGGTTGTTAAGTGACTCATGACCATTTTTAAGCCCCATTTTTGCCATAGTTGTTAAGCGAATACTGCAGTTGTTAAATGAATCATGCAGTTGTTAAGTGAATCAGGCTTCCTCCATTGACTGTGCTTGTCGGAAGCCATCTGGGAAGGTCACACATGATCTCCTGCAACATTACAATGGTCAAAATATATACAGGTACTCCTCGACTTACAACAGTTCATTTAGTGACTCTCCGAAATTACAATGGCACTGAAAAAAAGTGACTTATAACCATTTTTCACACTTATGACCATTGCGGCATCCCCATGGTCACGTGATTTACATCTGGATGCTTGACAATTGACTCATATTTATGACGGTTGATGTGTCCCTGGGTCGGGTGATCATTTTTTGGGACCTTTCTGACAAGCAAAAATAATGGGGAAGCCAGATTCACTTAACAACTGTTACTAATTTAACAACTTCAATGATTCACTTAACAAAAGGGGTAACAAAAGTCGTAAAATGGGCCAAAATCCACTTAACAAATTTCTCACTCATAAGTTTTGGGCTCAATTGTGGTCGTAAGTTGAGAACTACCTGTACTGGTTGCCAAGTGCCCCAATTTTGATCATGTGCCTGTGGGGATACTGCAATGATGTGTGAGGACAAGTTGACATTTTTTTCCAATGTCATTGTAACTTTCAACAGTCACTAAACAAATAGTTGTAAGTCGAGGCTACCTTTATAGATATATTTTTCATACCTTATCAGCTGTTGGCAGAGGGCAGGTCCTGGGCTGGTCAAAGAATCTTTTGGCTGCCCAGATGGGTATGATGAGATAAGGAAGGTTGAACAGAAAGGCTGGCTGGATCTCAGAGCTGTATTTCCCTATAAGTAGTAAAGATCAGGATTTATAAATTTTTGATATATTTTTAGAGAACAGTTTGGAGCTTTAAAATGGAGGTTAAAAAAGGTTTTTCCCTTGAAGTTTAAAGAATTTGAAAGAGTACAGTGAATTTTTGTTAATATAAATGATGATAAAGATTAATAAGAAATATATATTATTGTCCATGGGGGGGTGGGGAAGTAGAGATGTTAAATTGATTGGTTTATCTAAAGAAAAGAACGTATCTAATTTTGTTTTATTTTGGAAACCACTTCTGGATTTTGAGATTGTGATGGAAAAATGACTTTGATTTTGCTGATTATATAGGTTCATTGTTACAGAAATGACTATTGTGTAAAAGTAAAAAGTTGAGACTGTAAAGTTATTATCTTCCACTATGATAAAAAGAATCAAAGTCAATGCCCTTTTTTCTCCCCCGCACCCCACATTTTCCCCTTTTCTCCTCCCTTAATTTTCCATTATTTTCATTTTCCTTTCATTTTCATTTCCTGACTCAATAGTAGTAAACACAGTTACAGTAGTAACTGTAACTTCTAGTAGACCAGGGGTCTTCAAACTTGACAGCTGTAAGACTTGTGGACTTCAGCTCCCAGAATTCCTCCTCCAGTCATGTTAGCTCAGGAATTCTGGGAGTTGAAGTCCACAAATCTTGCCAAGTTTGAAGACCCTTGTAGTAGACAATCACTTAAATATGAGCCAGGAATGTGCTGCAGCTGCCAAAAAAAAAAAAAAGCCAATACAATCCTAGGCTGCATTAACAGAGGGACAGAATCAGGACCATATGAAGTGTTAGTACTGCTTTATAAAGCCTTGATAAGACCATACATGGAATATTATATCCAGTTTTGGTCACCATGATATTAAAAAAGAAGTTGAGACTCTAGAAAGAGTGCAGAGAAGAGCAATGAAGATGATTAGGTAGACTGGAGGCTAAAACACGTGAAGAACAATTGCAGGAATTGGGAATATCTAGTTTCATGAAAAGAAGGACAGGGGGAGACATGATAGCAGTCTTCCAATATCTCAGGGGTTGTCACAAAGAAGAGGGAGTCAAGCTATTCTCCAAAGCACCTGAGGGCAGGACAAGAAGCAATGGGTGGAAACTAATCAAGGAGAGAAGCAACCTAGAACTAAGGAGGAATTTCCCGACAGTTAGAACAATTAATCAGTGAAACAACTTGCCTCCAGAAGTTGTAAATGCTCCAACACTGGAAGTTTTTAAGAAGATGTTGGACAACCATTTGTCTGAAGTGGTGTAGGGTTTCCTGCCTAAACAGAGGGTTGGACTAGAAGACCTCCAAGGTCCCTTCCAACTCCATTATTCCATTATTTATATTTTGTATTCTGATAAATTAATACACATTTTGAAAATGGATCCTGCTATTTTTGAAAACAAAAATTCCAATAATAGCCAGTCCATTCTATTCTTTTAGCACCTTCCCAAAATCTTTTATTCTAAGGAGCGGACTTCTTCATAATGGAAATGGGGGAGGGATTTTGTCAAGACCAGGAAAAAAAAAAACAGGACTCACCAATCACATTTCCCAACAGAAAGACCACAAGTGCCATAGTGAAGGATCCTGTCCAATAGAGGCCGACGTTCCGATAACTCTTTCTAGAAGGCAGAATGTTCTGGTAACTTTTTTTTTTTTAATAAGCAGATATCCTGGAAAGCATTACAGATAGTCCTCAACTTATGACCATCATTGAGGCCAGAACTACGGTTGTGGTCATTAAGCAGGTCCCCATGTGACTACAGCCAATTTTATAACTTTGTGGTCATAGTCCCCTCTGGCAATCTTCTGACAAGCAAAGTCAGCGGGGAAGCTAGATTCACTTAACAGCCGTCTTACTAACTTAACAAGTGCAGTGATTCACTTAACAACAGTGGGAAGGAGGCTCATAAAATGGGGCAAGATTTGCTTAACAACTGTCTCGCTTAGCAGCGGAAATTTTGGGCTCAGTTGTGGTTGCAAGTCGAGGACTATCTATACCTCCCCATCCTTTTATACTTCAGTGCGTCAAGGAGACGTTTGCCTGGGCCACCTCACAATATTACTGTCAGGGTTCCGACGATTGCCCTAATTAAATCATGAGCCTCGAGCCAAGCTTCAAAAGAAATCCAAAAGATTTATTAGGAGCAACATGTTCGGCACTAACCCATCTGAAGCCAACTCTGAGACACGTAATTTACTATCACCTTTGACCCTGTTTCCCCCCCACCCTCCTGGGTGTGTCATAATTCAGATTCTCCAAAGAAACACGTTCACAGGCTGGGTGTCATCAATCACACTCTCCAATGAAGGATTTTCTGTGGCAGAAGACCCAGTAGCCTAGGTTACAATCTCCACAAGATAAGCGTGGAATGTGCTTCTGGCATTCATCTGCCGCACTGCTCCCTCCTTTCCCCGCCCTCCTTCTTATGGCAACTCAGAAACAGGCATAGGAATGATTTACGAGTTGACATTTACTTTGTTTCTCCGGACTTAAAATATGTTTCATCCCCCTTTGCCCAGGTTATAGTTCTTGCATGTTTTCATCAAGGTCACCTGTTGTGGTTCACCGGCAGCCTGTGCAGACGGCAGCGGAATCAGACAGTGGGGAAGAAAAGGGACCAGTCTGGGACTCTGGGGAGGACTCGGACAAGGGTCCTGAGTCTGATGCAGAGATGGGGCCAGAACCATCTAGGAGTGGGGTGCTGACTCCGAAGCCTCCAGAGTCTGGCAGCGGCGAGGCAGAGGAACAAGGGGAGCCTGTTCCCAGTGCGTGCATGCGCAGAGCTGCCAGAAGGCAAGAGCAGTTAAGACAAAAGTAGCGACTCGGGAGTAAGGCTTGGAGGTGATTGCCTCTCCCCTAAGGTATAAAGGAGGTGCAAAGGGACAGGAACCTTTGCAGGAAGCAACATCATTCGCTCTGTTCAGATTAAACCTTGAAGCTCTGTGTGGACTTTGTACTTCAGTTGGTTTTTTATAGTTACTCTGGCACTTTAGTTGTTGGCAGCAATTCAAAGGAGATAAAGATGGGTGCTTATCTTGAGGGACTGTTTGGGACTCATTACAGGCTGGGAATGAACATAATTCCCAGCGTTGAAATAAAACAAGAGTTGTTTGGACTAAGCGCGTGCTTAATTACAGTCTCAGGAAGCCTTGGTCAGAACATCACCTCCCTTTGTCTCCATAGCTACCATACCCTATAAAAATACGGTAGAGTCCCAGGAGTTTTTGAGGTCTACTTCTTGACCTGGTCTGTCTCAAATGGCTGAGACTCGGCCTCACCTTTGAACAATGGCTGCAACCATGAGGAGATACATGGCGAAGTTCACCACAGCATGCCAGTAGGAGATCATAATGCCATATGCTGTGCCCAGATAAGGCTCACCCTGCAACCCAGAGGGAAAAAACAGGAACACCATCAGAAAAAAAACTCATCTTTGAACTCGCTCCTCTCCCGGATGCCTTCACAGAACAAGTCAACCAGCTGAACGCAACAAGCTTGTTCTCTGTAGCTCCAAAAGGCAGGACTGGAGAGTGCATCAAAACGAAACTGAGCTAAATTTTGGAAGACAATAGGACAAGCTTCCTTGAGAGATGGCAGGGTCTCCTCCATCGGAAGTCGCAAACCAAAGGATACAAGATTCCTGAGCAGAACTCTGGATCCCTGAGTACCCTTTCAGCTCGATTGGAGCTCACACGACACTTCAACCATGCCAGTTAAAAACTCAGCGAGTGAATTTTCACCGTGATATTGTACAGGTGGTCCTTGACTTATGATCACAACTGAGCCCCACATTTTTGTTACTAAGCAGGGCAATTGAGTGAGTCAAGCCCCATTTTATGATTTTTTTTTTTTAAAAAAAACCCAGTCTGGGATTTCCAGGTGGTTTCCCCCATCCAAAAACTAACCACCTTTAGCCCTGCTTAGCTTTTCGAATTTTGAGATCAGCTAGTTGGTGCCCTGTAGAAGGGTAAAGCAGCTGAATTGCACCACTTTGAATGGCATCCAGAACCAGCCAGTTAACAGTCAAGGAGCACAAGGGGTAAGGTTAGGATAAGGGTATAGATTGCTCTCAGTGGGGCTGGGTTTCTTGTCCTTCGGCAATAGTTCAGAAACAATTTCAAAAAGTTAACAAGATCTAATGGGGAAAGAGATCCTTAGGAAATTCCAGAGCTGTGTCGTAGATCGGGGGATTTAAAAAATATTGGAAAGAAGGCACGGTGGCGGAAAATCAGTTGATTTTTTTTTTATCCCATTACCGATCTGGGGAAGATCAGGGAAACTATCCTAACTCCTCACCCTATCAATCCTGAGACCGCATCTCCCAAACGACTAATTATCCCCTAAAAGTGATAAAAAAACTCAAATAGGCAATGCACAATCAAAGCTTGCCTTTTTTTTTTCTTTTTTCTTTACATACATCATTGCTTCTCGAGGCAGGCTATAGAGACACAGCATTTAATGGGGGGGTTTCCCCTACTTGCAAAAGCACAGGCTGGGTCCCTGCAGACCAACCTCTCTGATGTAGAAATCGGCGAAGCTGCTGGTGTAGCCGTCTTTCTCCAAAGCGATCACAGCATCAGTTCCAGCGATGAAACAAAGGACCATGAACACTGGTGGAACAGAGAGAGCCAGTAAATGGGCATTATGCTTGTACCGGTATGTGTGTTTTCGCAGGCTTTGAACTCTTGAAGCGAGACCATTACATTTCTTAAACAAATTCATTAATTGTCATTTTATAATCAATCGCTCTTCTAAACTCTACAAGCTTAAGGCGGTGCCCCTCCCAACCTTTTGGGCACCAGGGACCGGTTCCGTGGAGAGAGGTTTTTTCCGCGGACTGGAGGGGAGCGTGGTTTTATGTGCTGCCGGCATCCTGCGGGTGGACCTTCACTTGTTGGCATGGCCCAGTTTCTGACGGGAGTTGGAGATCCCAGCCTTAGGGGAACTAGCAATTCTTATAACCCACGGAAAATGATCTATAAAAAAGAGGACTGTTCATTTAGTCCCAGATTGATTGCTGGAGGCGATAGGCTGATTCTGTAAACCGTTTAGAGAGGGCTATAAAGCACTGTGAAGTGGTATATAAGTCTAAGTACTATTGCTAGTCTCCAGATCAGCGTTTCTCAATCTTGACAACTTTAAGAGATGTGGGCTTCAACTCCCAGAATTCCCTCAGCCAGCCAGGAACTGTTCTTATAATTAAAACAAGAGTCAGGGTTCCAAGTAACACACCAACAGAATCAAAACTCCAAGGCATAATAATAATAATAATAATAATAATAATAATAATAATAATAATAATAATAATAATAATAATCCCCCATGGGGTGCCGCCTTGGCATGGTGGGGAGCTTAACTGCTCCAATGAAGCTGAGAGCTGTGCTGGTGGTAGAACAAACTACCAGCAGGCCCAACCATGTCAGAGAGGCCTAGGCCGAGGAGCGGAACTTAGTTCTAGTCCTCCCTTTGAGAGGGAAGCCAGCTGGGTGGCTTTGTATAGAACGGTGATGGCGAACCTTTTTGTTGTGGTGTGCTGAAAGCATGCACGCGCACGACGGCACCCACAATGCATGCATGCGCAACAACCCTGCCCCGCCCCCTTACCTGCGCTGTGCATGCGCACACCTCCCAGCGGATTTTCAGCCCATTTGAGGCCGTTTTTGCCCTTCCGGGAAGCCTCTGCAGCCTCGGGAGGCCGAAAAACGGAAATACCAGAAGTGTCCATTTTTCAGCCTCTGGAGGGCCTCTGGAGCCCAGGGGAGGCCATTTTTGCCCTCCCGGAGGCTCTAGGGAAGCCCCTGGAGCCCCGGGAGGCTGAAAACTGGCCCGTTTCGGCACTTCCGGTATTTCCGGAAGGCCAGTTTTTCAGCCTCCCGAGGCTGCAGAGGCTTCCCTCGAGTCTCCAGGAGGGCGAAAATGGCCTCAAATGGGCCTCAAATCAGCTAGGAGGCGCGCGCATGCACAGTGCAGGTAAGTTTGGCTGGGACTCGTGCGCGCACACAAATGGCTCTGCGTGCCACCTGTGGTCCCCGTGCCATAGGTTTGCCATCATTAAGTTTTTAATAAAAATGATTAGCTCTCTTTCCTTGTTCAACTCTGACTAACATTTCCCCAGTGGGCGAATACAGGTAGTCCCCTGAGTTATGACTACAATTGAGCCCAACATTTCTGTTGCTAAGCAAGAAAGCGGTTAAGTGGATTTTTGCCCATTTTATGACTTTTCCTGCCACCGTTGTTAATGGAATCTGCCTTCTCCAATGACTTTGCTTGCCAGAAAGTCACAAAAACATCGCATGACCCTGTCATAAATACAAAGCAGTTGTCAAGTGCCCAAATTTTGATCCTATTACCATAGGGATGTTGCAAAGATTATTAAGTGTGAAAAACAATCATAAATCACTTTTTCAGTGCTGTTGTAATGGTCACTAAATGAACGGTTGTAAGTCAAGGACTACCTGTATAGGAATGTAGAAAAAAAGCTGTCTCCACAGTTCAGAAACCTCCTTTTCATTTATCCATCCTGCAATCATTTCCAGTTATTTGGCAGATACATATTTGCTTATCTGCTGTAATCTCAATCTGTTCAGCTACCTTCAGGGGCCTTATTTATGCGAAAACCACTTCCAAACTGATGTGATTTAACGTAAAAAAAAAAAATTCAACCACACTTTCCTGTTCAATGATCGAATCCAGTGTATCTCGATCTTGACAGCTTGTCGATGTGTGAACTTTTAACTCCCAGCATTCCCCAGCCAGCACGCTTGGCTGGGGAATTATGGGAACTGAAGTCCCCACATTGGTCAAGTTGAGCAATGGTGATCTAGTTGAGGTAATCAGGAAGTCAGCGATTATTTCCATTTGTCCCTCATGGTCAAAGGATCAACCAAGATGGGAGTGAGAGGCGAAGAAAAGTGTCATGCGTGACGAACCAGACAAGTAAAATGGAAAAGGAACATACCGTATAAAAGAGGATCCTCGTAGGAGCGGTTTGGGAGATAAATCAGAACAAACAAAGGCGACAGAATAATAATGCTGAGGACTGCAATCATCGGAGGGCTGTAGGGAGGAAGGAACAAGCACAGAGTTCAAATGCTAAAGTCGTTAATTAAAAAGCCACCCCTGGGAACACTGTTACGGGCTCCCTCCATATTCTCTACCAGATTCAGGCATCGGAATTTTAAACTAAATTTAAAGGGGACGGAATTCCCTGGGAACTGCTGTGGTGGCCTAAAGGGCGACGCTCTCGCCTCACAATAAGGAGGCTGTGAGTTCGATCCTAGGTAGGGGCAGATATTTCTCTGGGCACAATGAGAAGATATCTGCTGGACGTAACTCTGCATTGGCGACAGGAAAGGCATCCGGCCAGTAATCACTCAGCTCCATCCAGTTGCCCAGACTCCACCCAACAAGGGATTAGGCGGCCATTAAAAGATGGCGATGGAATTCCCTGGGATACAATACAAGCAGAGACGCTGACAGGGAGAGGGGTTAACAAAGTCACGATGGCAATCCCCCCAGGACTTCCATTCCCAGCATGGACCACTGTTCCCAGGACTTGGCTTACATTTAGAGTTGTCCATGAGGTGGGGATGAGGTCAACTAAGTCAAGATGGAGACACCACTCCTATGCGCTCAAAGCCCTGCCCATTTTACATGACACAGATGAAAAAAGAGGGGTGAACATACCTAATATTCCTTCCTCCTCCTGTTTTCCTCACAACAACAACCCTATGAGGTGGGTTGGGCTGAGAGTGACCAGCAGCCCAAAGTCAGCTAGATGGCTTTCATGCGTAAGGCTTTCATGCTTAAGGCAGGACTATATAATTCACAGTCACCTGTTGATTGGCCAAAAGTCCCCCAGGTGGCTTTCATGCCTACGACAAGTCTAGAACTCACAGTCTCCTGGTGATTGACCCAAAGTCACCCAATGATTTCATGCCTAAGTCAGGACTAGAACTCACAGTCTCCTTATGAATAGCCCGAAGTCCCCCAACGACTTTTATGCCTACAACAGGACTAGAACTCACCATCTCCTGATCTCTAGCGTGGTGCCTCAAACCACCAGACCAAAATACCTCACTTATTATCGTTATAACGTTATTGCTTCTGTGTAATTTTTACTGGGGTGATTTGGCCTCGGCCTCCGAGTAGGGAAAGATGGAGCCTTATAAATAAATATTTTATTATTTATGTCTTAAATCTCTATGTTATGAACCAAAGCAGCTCTGGGTGGCTTACGATATAGTGTAATTTTGCTCGTTTGTCATCATCGTTTGTAACTCCATTGCCCGTAATATATAGGTCCTACTACAGAGAGAGGCTGCAGAATGAAGCACTAATTTTAGCCATATGACAGTTCCGGTAAAAAAAAACCAAAAACCATTCCTTCATCAATGTTCTGCTGAATTGCTTTGCAGATGGGAGTGTGTGGTTGCTAAATGGCCACCTATTTATTCTTAATTGACTGGCATAAAGGTTCCGTACTTGCCCATTTACAGGACTCCAAAAACTGCAGTTTCCAACTAATTCTGATTATTATTATTTTTTAAGAGTCCAAAAGCAAAGGAAGGTCTTTTCTGCCAGGACTCCTTTCTAACTGAAAAGGTGAGACAGCTCGACCTGCCATGGTTTATGCACAGAGCATAATATCCCCGCTTCCCTGTCTTGACTGCCCCAAACCAGAGAGGAATCTCTCTTTGAATGCAAACTGCTCAGCCGGTTTATGCCATTAGCAGCCAAGGCACCGAGCCCTGAGCAAGCGTTGCAGAAAAGAGCCGCTGCCTGGTGTCGAACTGCAATGCAGATCCAGGATTCATGCAGCGAGCCCGGCGGTTTAGAGAGGTCAGAAAAGGCCACTTAGCATCTGCAGAGCTGCACGGGGGTTCTCCAGATCAATAGTTACAGCTGGAGAGGCAAAAGAGGACGTGATAGAGGGAACACAGAGGGCTCCCTCCCATCCCCGTGGTTGTAGTATTTTTTTTTTAGATGGACTCCAAGCTGCCTTTCAGCAGGAAAATGCCAAGCGAGCCAGCTCAGCATTTAGCTAAGCATATGACAGTTTTCTCTTTGTCGGTTGAGTTTTGATTGTTCTCTACATTACAAGCATTAGAAAAAAAGGCATTTTTCACTGCTTCTAGCAAGTATGTTAAATGTGGCTCGAGGCTACGCTGGCTGCATTCTTCCCCTTTCTCTTTCTGCAATGGTCAGAACATTCCTTGAATACAAGCAGTTTTTGACTTATGCCCATAATCGAGACCAACAGTTCCATTGCTAAGCAAGGCTTTAAGGAAAAGACGGACTAGGGGTGACATCATAGCAGTGTTCCACTATCTCAGGGGTTGCCACAAAGAAGAGGGAGTCAAACTATTCTCCAAAGCACCTGAAGGCTGGTCAAGAAGCAATGGATGGAAATTAATCAAGGAGAGAAGCAGCCTAGAACTAAGGAGATATTCCTGATAGTTAGAGCAATTAATCAGTGGAACAATTTGCCTCCAGAAGCTGTGAATTCTCCAACACTGGAAGTTTTTAAGAAGAGATTGGACAACCATTTGTCTGAAGTGGTGTAGGGTTTCCTGCCTAGGCAGGGGGTTGGACTAGAAGACCTCCAAGGTCCCTTCCAACTCTGTTATTCTATTCTATGATCCAAGGCCGTTTTAACAAGGTCCCTTTCAACTATTCTATTCTGTTGTTCTGTTCCTTCTGTTCTATTCTATTCTATTCTATTCTATTCTATTCTATTCTATTCTATT